TGCAGAGGTGGTAAGAGACGGAGGTACTGAGAAAGATCTTCAGAAAGAAAGAATGCAGAGGGAGGTCAGATGACAAAAAGGAATATAATCTACTGCCATAAATTCCCAGAAACCCTTTCACAATTCTCCCTGGAACTGTAAATTTTTACCATAGTAAAATGATGAGAGATTACAATACCCCTTTTATCTTTGGGCTAAAACAGGTCAGCAATCTGGTCCACTGCTTGTTTTTTTGTTTTTTTTTTAATAAATAAAGTTTTATTGCAACATGGTCACAGTTGTTTTTATTATTGTCCATCGCCTGCTGCTTCTTAAAATGACAGAGATGAGTAATTGTAACAAAAACCATTTGGTTTACCAATCCTTAAAGATATACTATTTAGCACGTTTTAGAAAAAGCTTGCCAATCTCTGAGCTGGAAGGCTGAATGAAATGGTTTAACAAAACCTGATCTCAAATCTCCATATCCAGAGCCCTTACAAATCTCACAAAGCTGGAAGATTTAAAAAAGTATATCAATCATGAGGCCTAGTGCAGAACTTTTAATTAGCTGCTAGTAAAATCAAACTGAAACTCTTCTTAGGAAATGGGAGTTTTGATGACAGAAATTTGGACCATGCAGTACCACAAACTGGGTATTTTTGGAAAGTTGGAGGAGAATGGTATCACTGCCCTCCATTCTTAAGGAGGACAGAATAGGTAAGAGCAGGCCTAGGGCTTCATGGAAAAATCCCACTGCAATGACTCTGGGGACAGAGGCTGCCCTTAATTGGACTGCTGACACTTAGTTGGTCTTACTTCTGCCCCCTGAAAAGTTCAGAGTGACACTGTGGAGAGTGAAACTCTAAATGAATAGACTCTGGGATGATTCACAGGAAAATCAAAGGGGAGATATTTCATAGGAAATGGTCCAAAACTGGCAGCAGGAAGTAAACAGGTATTGAGAACAGACTATGCCTATGTGCCCTTAACATACCAACTAAGTTAATAAACACAACAGTTTAAAAAAATACATGTAGGGGCTGGGGTCATGGCTCAGTGGTAGAGTGCTTGCCTAGCATGTGTGAGGCACTAGGTTAGATTCTCAGCACTACATATAAATAAATGAATAAAATAAAGATCCATCAACATCTAAAAAAATATTTTAAAGAATACATTTATTTTGTTCATCTTGTAAAATGGTACGTAATTATTTCTTCTCTCAATTCAGCCAGCCTGAGCTGTTTCCTGGCTTGGAGTCTTATTAGTTATATCTTAATCCTAGCACATTTTCTGTTTTTTTTTTTTTTTTTTTTGAGAGAGAGAGAATTTTTTAACATTTTTTTTTTAAGTTTTTGGTGAACATCTTTATTTTATTTTTATGTGGTGCTGAGGATCAAACCCAGTGCCCCACGCATGCCAGGCAAGCACGCTACCGCTTGAGCCACATCCCCAGCCCCACCCTTTCTGGTTTTATGTCCAGTGTACTAGTTGAGGTTATTGAGAGAAAAAGAACTAATAGGAGATATACATAGTTGTATTTCACTAGAAAGAAATTTATTATAAGGTATCAGTTTGTGTGATTATAGAGACTGATAAGTCCTATGCTCTGCCTTCTGAGGGCTGAACACCCAACAAAGTCAGTGGTATAGATCAATGTCTAACAACCAGAGAGACAATGGTATAAATCCCCATCCAAATCTGAAGACCTAAGTACCAAAAGTGCTGAGGGAAGGAGAAAACTGATGTCCTAGTTCAAATAGTCAGGCAAGTATATTCAACCTTCTTCCACTTTTTTTCTTCTATTCAGGCCCTCAAAGACTGGATGCTGCCCATCCACATTGGGGAGGACCATGTGCTTTCCTCAGTTAACCAATTCAAATGCTAATCTCTTCTAGAACACCCCCAGAAATAATGTATAGCTAAGATAGCCTGGAATTCCATCTCCCAGTCAAGTGTAAACATAAAATTAACCATCAAGACTAATAGAAGGCAATAACAATCATAATATATAAATAATTATGTTAGCTAGTTGGATTCTCCTTACCATGGACAACAGTCTATTGATGGCCACTGCCCGTTGTTGGGCTTCTATATGAGGCATTTCATTCTGAATTACTTGGTCTGTGATTCCATGAGGAAATTGATGGCATAGTTCTATAATCCTAGAAACAAAGGTATTAATGATATCATTTATATTCACCTGCTTCAAGAGGCAGTGGTAGAGAAGTACAAGCAGAATAGTTTGAAATTGTGCCTTTCCTTTATTCACATTTGGCTGATACTCTGAGTTTGTATGATGATTTTGAACCAAAGGATATTAAAAATTGAGGAAGCTGGGCTGGGCCTGGGGCTGGGGTTCAGCAGTAGCACATTGCCTGTCATGTGTGAGGCACTAGGTTTGATTTTCAGCACCATAAAGAATCAAATTTAGTTGTCAATACCTTTATTTTATTTATAAATAAATAAAATAAAGGTCTATTGACAACTAAAAATATAATTAAAAAATGAGGAAGTTGCTTTTTACATTATTAGTGTTATTTAAGGGGAACACTTCTTTTCATCAGATATAAATTTTAAATTAGCACAAAAGTCTAACAAAAACAGAAACAATATTAAAGCTGAGATTTCAATGTTCTCAGCTGAAATAAGTATAACAAAATTAAGTAGTAAATCTGTAAGCAAGAAACAAATGCAGACTTTTTGCAACTTCAGGAAAAGTTCCTGCTTTATTATTCCAAATAATTTTTCCCATGTAAAATAAATGTCCAATAGTTTCTGGTATGTGGGAAGATAATGTTTGTTAAAGTCACAATGAAGCCTCATAGAGAGAAGCTTGGCTATATAAATACCACAAGTTGAGAAAAGGTTTACTCTCCAAATCTATTAAACTGGATGAAACAAGATCAGTAACAGCCACCTAGTGACATTACAGGAGGTCTCATTCCCACTGGAGATCGAGGAGGCCCACCTTGGTAAGAGGATACCACTGGCAGGCAGTTCCTGCCCATACAGAAGCTTAGCACCAGGAAAGTAAACTGGCATGGCTTGCTTATGACCACCATACTGACCATGAAGTGGCATGGGGGGAGGGGTCTCATTCCTTGCTGCTGTGGGATGCCTGGCTGTGGTGGCATCATACCTTCAATTGGTCCAACTGGTGGATTACCAATAATGTGGACACTTCTTTTGGGAAGTGATAAGGAAGTATTAAGATAATTCACCATAACTGGGGCCTGTTTTTATAATTAGCCCTAACAAATAAGTCCAAATCTTGTTTTAGGATTAATAAATGCGTTGTTCATAACAATTTAAGAAAGTCAGGGTCTCTTAAAACTATACGATAATGTAGAATTCACTGTTATCGAGTACATAACATTGGAAAAAGCTTTAGATGCCCTAAAATCCTGAGTTCAATACTTCTTCTAAACTTTTCGGGTTAATGTTGCTTTGTAATCGCAAACTGAATCCTAACTTGGCCCAAACGTTCTATTGTAGAAGTTCCCTTAAGTGATGGAGCAATCCTGAATTAGAATATGCATCCACAAGTACTGCGGGGGGGGGGGAAGGCAGGTCTATTTTCAGAGCACTGATTTCCTTAACATAGGTAGTGCACCAAACAGCATCCGGGCAAAGTCAGTTATACCCATCATGGCAAGCTGTCAATCCCGTCTGGAACTTCTGAAGTCCTGTTCTCCTGGGGAAGGGTATTCAGAATGCCGCATTTTACTTCCCCGCGTGCTCACTCAACCTGCTCCGTCCACTCCCAAGGAGTCCTGGAGAATGGATCCGGTTGCCTAAATGACCGCCCCTCTGCGGGAGGAAAAGGGAGGTCTGGAACCGGGAACCAAGCCTCTCTGGCTTACCTGTTTTCTATTTCGACCGGATCCGCGTCGGGCGGTTGCACCTTCACCTTCACCTCCGCCATTAGGGCTCAGTTCCTGAACCCTGGAGAAAGAGACACACGCAGTCACTGGATTACTAATCACAGAACACCGGTAGCCGCGGAAGACAGCATAGGCCCCAGAGCGAGGGGCCTTCTTCCTCTTGTCGCAGCCGGTCCTTGCTAGTCTGTCGGCTTGAGGCGGCCAAGCCGCGCCTGCTCCGCACCACTCGCCGGCGCCGACATAGCGTCTTGTGCACAATTTCAATACCTGTCGAACAAAAGAACCTGGTTCTCTTATTTCGAGTAGCAACGTCACCTCTTAGCACTTTCCAATTTCTCGGAAGGCATATTCTTGGATATCTACGGTAAAGCCTTCGGAATAGAGATCCAGGCTGGTACCAATCTCTCCGCCCAGTGACAGGGGCGGGGCTGGTTGCTAGGAGGCCGATTTTTCCGCCAATCATTTTCCTAGTTCCCAGTGGGCGGAGCGCGCTCACCGCGTCTGTGGTAACCCGGGCTGCGGCAAAGGAGCCTGCAAGAGGCGGTGAGAGACAGGCAACCGGGTTGGGGGAGGCTGAAGTGCCTTGGGGGTCCTGATCTCGGTCCTCGTGACTGCTGGAGGAGGAGGAGGGCCTCCTTTACTCCAACTAAAGGACGCAGGCGTTCCTGACTGCCCCTGATGGACCAGGGCGAGGACCCTATAGGGTCCTATAAGCGAGAAGATGGTGCAGGTGGAGGTAGTTGGGAGGTGGTGGTGGGGTGCTGTTGACCGCCCTCTGCGGTTTGAATCTAGTGGATCAGACATTTTTCTCGGTCTCCTTAGCTTGAGGCCCACTGGCCTTCCAAGGGCAGCTACTAGTTCCATGCGCGAATTATTCTATCCATCAACTATTTATTTATGTCTTTTCAAGTATTTTTATTTTAAATGCTTCTCACTTGAATGGAAATGTGCGTAAGAGCACGTTCTCCCGCACTCCCGTGTTCCGTGTTCAGTCACACTTCTGTCAGGCCCAGTGCTGCGCTAAGAGTATCCGCAGTTTAGATTTTTTTTGTACTGGGGATTGAACTCAAGGGCATATAACCACTGAGCCACATCCCCAGCCCTTTTTTTTTTTTTTTTTTTTTGTATTTTATTTAGAGACAAGTTCTCGTTAAGATGCCTAGTGCCTCCGTAGGTTTCTGAGGCTGGCTTTGAACTTGTGATCCTCCTGCTCCCACAGTTTATATTCTTGGCTCTCAATCTGGAACTATCCAACAAGGAAGGTTTTAAGTTCACTTCTTAAGTTTAGTTATCCCACTAATACAATCTGACGAGACTGAAAATGCAAAGATGTTCAGAGCAACTGTGTGTAAGAGTTGCCACAACCAAAACTAAAGACACTAGATATAGTCTAATGGCCAAACACAAATTGATGCATAAGTGTACATAAGTGTATGGAAAATTGTAAATTTAAAAATGAGGATGCAAAAATTAGACTTTAAAAGTTGAGTGAATATGGAGGATAATTAGCACTTTCCAACTTCTTGGAAGGCATATTCTTGGAAGGCCTCTGTACTGGTAATTAATAATTTATAAGTACAGCAAGTTAAAGTGGGAGACTTGTGTTTGTTGATCACTGTTTATATCTCTACTAACTTCCTTTCTCTTCAGAAGTGATGCTTTGCAGTCCTTCTAAAGTGTGTATGTAGCTATCAAATTTAAGAACCACTGTGATGGTTCCTGGACCATGGACCTGAAGCTTTCTCAGAAGAGTTGGCTCTAAATGAACACTTTGTGCTACCTACACAGTTCCTTCTGGTCAACCTCTGTGATGACTTGCTTGAGGTCAAGGGTGGTGGCCCAATAATTGAAGGAAAGAAAGGGTTATAATAATCCAGACGGAATTGAGTTCAGAGCATTAGTGATGGTCTATGTTCTGTTTTAGCCATTTAATTTGTCCATTTAAAATGCTCCATTACCCCATCTCATTCATTCATGCTCTTTCTCAACAGCAAAAATAAAGCTGAAATGTAAATTATTTCAATTTAAATGGGATGGTATTTGTAAGTGGCATACTCATAATATTCTCTTTAGGTTACACTAATTTTGCCATATTTAAGTAAGGTGCTGCTCTTCAGTTCTTGTATTCTTGTATATAGGTGCATAATATAATTTATTTTTATCCTTTTTTTTATATAAGGAGAGAATATGACTGCTGGTTCGGTGTGTGTCCCTCAGATCATACCACTTCGAGTGCCTCAACCTGGAAAAGCAAATCATGAAATTGATAACAATACTTTTTTGGAAATGAAATCAGGTAGGAATCACATGTGTTGGAAATTGTTTAAAATAACATTGTCATAGTCTTTGTTTCATGTGGTTGCTGATTTATTTCTTTATATGCTTTCTATACTCAGGATGTTGGGAAGTTTGTAAAACTTTCAAAATTCCAATCAATGTTGTATTTTGGTTATTTAAAACATGGTATATATTTAGATTAAAATGGTTAGCTTTGACTAAGCTCTCATTTATATAGGTACACAGTTCCAATTGATTCACCTTAGTTGAATTTAATTTTAATTAAATTTAAAAAATTAAAAAATTTAAATTTAATTTAATTTTCCCAGGAAGCTTGTTATTTTGTTTGGATAATAAATTTAACTTACTATGGGCTGGGGTTGTGGTTCAGTGGTAGAGTGCTTGCCTAGCATGCATGAAGAACTGGGTTCGAACCTCAGCACCACATAAAAACAAAATAATGTGTCCACCTAAAACTAAAGATACATAAATAAATAAATATTAAATAAATAAATTTAACTTACTAATACAGACTTTCAAATGTCTCAGTTTAGAAATGGAATCCCAGCTTTGACAACATCTGATGACCTAGGGCACTTTATATAGCCTTTCTGAGTCTCAATTTCCTTATAGTAAGATAAAGTTAGTCATATCTGCCACTTGGAGCCATTGTAAGGACTGAGTGACTTGGTATATATGTGAGGTGAACAGGATCTAGCATATAATAAAATATGTTTTAACTATTATAAAAATAAAAGAGAGAATATATCTCCTGGTAATATTTATTCTTCAAACTCTTAAATGTATCTATATACATACACACACATGTACATTTAATGAACATGAGAAATGAAAGCTTTATAGATCCAAAATTTGAAGAAATATTTGTCTAAAAAAGATTTTGAAACTCCAATTGTATATTTTAATAAATGTATACAAACTACCTACATTTCTAGTATGTTTCCTATGTTTCCTAGACTAAGAATATGGTTACATTATACTATGTCCTCCTTTATCTTATTTATTTATTTTTTTTAAAGAGAGAGTGAGAGAGGAGAGAGAGAGAGAAAGAGAGAATTTTTTAATATTTATTTCTTAGTTCTCGGCAGACACAACATCTTTGTTGGTATGTGGTGCTGAGGATCGAACCCGGGCCGCACGCATGCCAGGCGAGCGCGCTACTGCTTGAGCCATATCCCCAGCCCCTTCCTTTATCTTAAAAGCTAATTTGATTTTTAAAAATAAGGAACCAAAATTAAAATGTAAATATTTGTGCTCATAGTTCTTATTTTGATACAAGTTTTTGTTTTGATACAAGGTCTCACAAAGTTGCTGAGCTGTCCTCAAACTTGTGATCTTATTGCTTCAGCCTCCCAAATACCTGGGATTACAGGTATATGGCAGTGTGCCTGGAAAGATACTATTTTTTCAATCTCAGAAATTAGCAAAATTAAAAGAAAAATAGGTAACATACTTTATCGGGGAGATTGTGGTTAAATAGGCATTTCATATTTACGTTGCTTAATCACCCAGGGAGTGCAGTTTGAATATATTAATCAAAAGTACAAATGCAAAGTCAAGCTCAGAGGTGTGTGCCTAGAGCCCCAGCTACTCAGAACTGTCGCAGGAGACTTTCAAGTTCAAGGACAGCCTGGGCAACATAGCTAGACACTATCCTAAAAATGTTTACAAATGTACATACCTTTTGATCTATTAGTACTATTTCTACATATTTGTTTTACAGATGTACTTACAAAAAGAATTCTTTATAGGATTGTTCATTACAATGCTTATGTTTGCAAAAGCAAACAATCTAAGTGTCCATCTTTAGAGAGTTAAATTGTTGTTCGCCTGTATGAGGAGATTGATTGCAGTCATAACAAAAAAAGAGAATGTTCTTTATGTATCAAAATAGAATAATACCCAAGACATGTTAATAATTGAAAAAAGAAATGTGTGGAACAGGATATAGTATGCCACCATGAGTGTTAAAAGGGAGGGGAAAATAAGATTATATACCTATATGTACCAATAAAGTTGTTTTTTTTTTTTTTTTGGTACTAGGGATTGAACTCAAGGGCACTCAAACCCTAAGCAACATCCCCAGGACTATTTTATATTTTATTTAGAGACAGGGTCTTACTGAGTTGTTTAGCACCTTGCTGTTGCTGAGGCTGGCTTTGAACTGATGATCCTCCTGTCTCAGCCTCCTGAGATGTTGGGATTACAGGTGTGTACCACCACACCCAGCCCAATAAAAGTTTTCTGAAGGACACTCAGTATACCATTGATTGTCTTTGGACAGCCAATGTGAGATCTAAGAGGGAGAATTTCATTGTATAGCATTTTTAAACTTTTGAATTTTTAATCATGAATTTATTGCATTTAATTTTTAAAAAATATTTATTTTTTAGTTTTTTAGGTGGACACAATATCTTTATTTTATTTTATGTAGTGATGAGGATCGAACCCAGTGTGCCGCACATGCCAGGCAAGCGCACTACCGCTTGAGCCACATCCCCAGCCTGCATTTAATTTTTTTCAGGCATTACAAGAATCATTTACCAAGTCCAAAAAATATATAATAAGTCATTTCTTAAGAAATGCTTAAGGTTCTGCCATGCCCAGTGGCACACACTTGTAATCCCAGCAGTTTGGGAGGCTGACAGAGGAGGATCACAAGTTCAAAGCCAGCCTCAACACTGGCAAGGCACTAAACAACTCAGTGAGACCCTGTCTCTAAATAAAATACAAAATAGTGCTGATGTGACTCAGTGGTCAAGTGCCCCTGAGTTCAATCCCAGGTATCATACTCACCACCACCAATAAAAAAAAAAGAAAGAAAGAAAAGAAATGCTCAAGGCTGGGGGTATACCTTAGTAGTAGAACACTTACCTAGCATGTGCAAGGCCCTGGGTTTAATCCCCAACACCACAAAACAAAATGAATAAAGAAGTGCTCAAAAAAAAAAAAATTAAAAATTAGTTTCTGTTTTCTATGGGGATCGTGTTATCTTCAAAACTGACCTCTATTCTATTTGTATCAATGCCCTGTTAGAGACACAAAAGAGCATAATGGTTCAAGAGCATAGGTTATGGTTTCAACTGACCAGAAGTCATACCACAATGCATCTATTATTTAGCAATTTTGTTAATCTCTTAGGGACTCAGTTATCTCATCTAGAAAATGGGCATAAAATAGGGACTCATAGAGTTATACAGATGAAGTCAGAAGTGAGCTCATTTGGGCTGGGATTGTGGCTCAGCAGTAGAGCCCTCACCTAGCACGTGCAAGGCCCTGGGTTCGGTCCTCAGCACCACATAAAAATAAATAAGTAAAATAAAGATATTGTGTCCAACTACAACTAAAAAATAAATATTTTCTTTTTAAAAAAGAAGTGAACTCATTCATGTAAAGCACTGTGCTAACACAGGAAAAGAATTATTGTTATTTTCATATATATATTCAAATTCATATGTGTGAATTTTCATATGTTTGTATGTATGTGTAGAAACTCCTCAAATAACTAACATTTAGGCATTATTCAGGGGTAGCCTCTTTAGTGTTAATTTATAGTTATCCTGTTTTGAATTTTTCAGATACCCCAGATGTCAACATATATTATACCCTGGATGGCAGCAAACCTGAATTTCTGAAGAGAATTGGTTATGGAGAAAATAATACGTTTAAGTATACAAAACCTATTACTCTGCCTGATGGAAAAATACAAGTTAAAGCTATTGCAGTTTCTAAGTAAGTTACGAAAGTGGTGATCAGACTGATTTATAATATAATGACATTATGTTCTGATTTTACTTATTTATTCCTTTGAGAATTAGTGTTGCATTAGAAAGACACAAAAAACTTAATTGTAGCATATACAAGTGACTCATTGTTTTATTTGCATTTTACTAAGGTATGCTGTAAAGTGCACAAATCATAAGTGCATTCAATGACGTGAAATCAATAAGCTCAATGAAGTATCATTGTGTATTAACATTGCTTTTATTTCAAATTCCACTTTGGATCTTCAGGAAGAAAGAGCCTGCCTAGGGCTGGGAACCTCCTCTAAAGAGCTTCTCCTGGCTCTGAGGAGAGCATTGCATTTACTGGATGGTTCTTATTCCTCAGGATGCAGCCTACAACAGCACCATGATTCACTCTTTCATTTTGTATTGATTTAATTGATCTTTGAAGCTGTTGTCTTTTCACAAAAGTGGAGGGCATTAGCCACTTTATTCTTCCTTTCCCACTTGGTGCCTTTTAAGCATTTTGAAACCTTTTTGAAAACACTATTAATTTGGAAACCTTCACCATATGTTGTAGGGGAAAAGCCTCAATTGCTTAGCAAGTCTGTGTGATTGTGATGGAAGAATCATTTTGTTCAGCAAGACCGGATTGACCGGTTTGGCCACATTTCGGGAATCTATTTAAGCGCCAAACCTGTTGGCCCCAGACTCCCCCCTGCTGGCTTAACTACTGCATGACCCTTTTTTAAAAAAAATATTTTTAGCTATAGATGGACACAATATCTTTTTTTTTTTTTTAATGTGGTGCTGAGAATTGAACCTAGTGCCTCACACATGCTAGGCAAGCACTATACCACTGAGCCACAACCCCAGCCCACTGCATGACTTTTTGAAAAGAGGAGCAACTTTACCAAAGATGATTGTTTTGGTATCTGAAAATTAAAAAAAAAAAAAAATTAAAGATAAAATGAAGCTGGGCACAGTGGTGTATGCCTGTTAGTCCCAGTGGCTCAGGAGGCTGAGGCTTGAGAAATGTGAGTTCAAAGCTAGCCTCAGCAAAAGCGAGGTACTAAGCAACTCAGTGAGACCTGTCTCTAAATAAAATACAAAATAGGGCTGGGGATGTAGCTCAGTGGTTGAGTGCCCCTGAGTTCAATCCCTAGTACCCCCTCAAAAAAAAGAGTGAGGCAAAATAACCCCTTAAATGCATCATTGTTATTTACTAAATACTGGAATTTTGTTTTTTCCCACTTACCAAGGCACTTCTTTTTAAAATTTTTTAAAAATTTGTTTTAATTAGTTATTTATGGCAGTAGAATGCATTTATGCACTTTGATATATCATACATAGATGGGATATAATTTCTTATTTTTCTGAGTGTACATGTTGCAGAATCATATTGGTCATGTAGTTCCATATACACATACATTAATAATGTATGTTTCATTCTGCCATCTTTCCTATCCCCACATCCCCTCCTCTCTCCTCTAAGCCACTTCTATCAAAACAAATCATCTCAATTATCATTAAAAATTAGAAACCTAAGTACTGATTTACAATATAATGACATTATGTTCTGATTTTACTTATTTATTCCTTTGAGAATTAGTGTTGCCTAATACTGGAAGGCAGGGCCCCTTTAGGAGCTGCTAATAGAATTCAGATAAAGAGGTAGTTTGAAGGGGGTAGTAAAGCTTTCAAGAGAGTTTAAAAATAAGATCTTTATGCCTCTCACCAACTTTTTAAAAGTTTTTATTTTTATTTTTTTGTTTCTTTTAGTTATACATGACAGTAGAAAGTATTTTGACATTCTCACCCAACTTTCTCTGTGCCCACTGAGTGCTTTAGTAACACCAAAGTATTTCAGATGTGCTCAGTTTCCCAGTCTGGCCTCATGCTTATGGTCCTCCTGCCTTAGCCTCCCAAGTCTCTGGGATTACAGGTGTGCAACATTGTTCCTAGAAAAAATAGTTTTTTATGGAAATTATACTGCTTTATTTAAGTCAGTTTCTAGGTACTTAAGGTAATTTCTTAGTAAGGAGTCAAAGGACTTTAAATGAGAGTGTAACACTTGAAGGTCATTAACATATTAAGAGGAAAAATTGTCATGAAATTTCAAATGACAGAGGAAAATGTTTATTATGTAAAAAGTGGAAAAAAATAAGGTACAAGTTTACACTTATGACTTTAACTGCACTTTAAAATGCATAGAGAAAAGACTGGAAGAAAACATGCCAAACCTTAGCAGTCACTGCCTTTGATGACAAAATTATGTATGTTTGCTTTTTACTCTTGATAACTTTAACAGCTTCCAAAACTTAACTTTTGTGATAATAAATAAAGGGATAAATAATAAATAAAGGATATCTGAAATTACATAACTAGTTCTTCTCAACTTTGTCTGCTGAATCAGCTAGTCATTATTGCATAACAAACCATTCTAAGACTTAATGTCTCAAAAGAACAATTGCATTTGTTAATTATTCTGTGGGTCAGTATTTTGGATTTTTTTCAGTTATTTGTTTTGTTTTGCTACTGGCAATTTAACCTAGGGGCACCTTACCACTGAGCCCCATCCCCAACCCTTTTTGTTTTTTATTTTGAGACAGTCTAACTAAGTTGCTCAGCGTCTCCCTAAATTACTGAAGCTAGCCTTGAACTTGTGATCCCCCTGTTTTAGCCTCTCAAGCTGCCAGGATTCTAAGTGTGTGCCACTGCATAGTATTTTGATGTGTATTCAGGAGGTGGTTCTTCTGATGATCTTGCCTAAGATCAGTTACATAGCTGTCTTTTTTTTTTTTTTGGCTCATTTTGAATTGGATGGTCTCAGAAAGCTTAACTTACATGTCATGTTTGGTGCTGGCTATAGGCTGGAGCCATGTCTCCTGCAAGATATCTTTATGTTTTCACAAGGTGCCCCAGTTCTAAAATGCAATAAGAGAAAGGACAAGTCCTGCAGATGTTTTTTTAGATTCTACTTGTGTCTTATTTACTTGGCCAAAGTAAATCACATGGCCACACCCAAAGTCAGTGTGGCAGGAGATTTTATAAGGGCACGGATGCAGAGAGGTATGGTGGTGCCTCAGAACCCATTATTTTTTTTCCACTTTTTTTTATTGGTGCATGATAGTTGTACATAATGATGGGATTTGTTGATACATATTCATAGATACATATATAAACAAAATAATTTGACCAGTATCATGCCCTAGCACTTCCCCTCTTCCTTCCCACCTCCCATCTTCTGATCCCTTTCCTCTACTAATGTCCCTTTGATTTTCATGAGTCCTCCACACTTTTTTTTCACCTTTTCCCTCTCTAGCTTCCACATAGGAAAGAAAACATGTGACCCTTGATCTTCTGAGTTTGATTTATTTTGCTTAAAATAATGATCTCTATTTCCGTCCATTTCCTGCAAATAACATAATTTTATTTTCCTTTATGTGAATAAAACTCCATTGTGTGTATATACCTCATTTTCTTTATTCATTCATCTGTTGGTGGATGGACACCTAGGCTGGTTCCATAGTTTGGCTATTGTGAATTGTGCTGCTGTAAACATGAGCATGTAGTTTCTTGACTCTAATTTTTTAGGATAAATACCAAGGAGAGGTATGGCTGGGTCATATGATGATTTCATGCCTAATCTTTTGAGGAATATCCATACTGATTTCCATAGTGGTTGTACTAATTTACAGTCTTACCAACAATGTAAAAGTGTTCTTTTCCCTCTACCTCCTCTCCAGCATTTATTATTATTTGTGTTCTGATGACTGCCATTCTGACTTGAGTGAGATGAAATGTCAGTGTTATTTTGATTTGCATTTTCCTAATTGCTAATGATATTGAACATTTTAAATATATTTTTGCCATTTGTATTTCTTCTTTTGAGATGTGTCTGTTTAATTCATTTGCCCATTTATTAACTGGGTTACTTGATGTTTGGATGTAAAGTTTTTTGAGATATTTATATATTCTAGATATTAATCTTCTGTCAGAAAAGTAGCTAGCAAAGATTTTCTTCCATTCTGTAGTTTCTCTCTTCACATTATATAATTGTTTGCTGTGCAGAAAGCTTTTTAATTTGGTACCATTCTATTTGTTAACTCTTGGCATAATTTCCTGAGCTTTAGGAGGACCAATTATTTTACCAGTTTACCACAGGTGCAAATTAGAATTACCCAAGGAGCTTTGCAGAATCCTGATGCCCAGGTCACACCCAGACCAGTTAAATAACAGACTCTTGGGGATAGGACCCAGGGATCAATATTTTAAAATACTGATTATTCAGATATACAGGTGATTTCAACATGCAGCCAATATTGACCACAATGGACATAAAGCAATGGAAAATATGTTTTTGTTTATAGATATTTGATCAACACAATGTTTTGTAAATATATTTTTATTGAAGTATGAAATTCTAGGATGAAAAGAAAGGAATAGGGCATCATTGCAGGTGGATATATGTGTGTGTGTGAATTTTGCATCCAAGAATGGTTAGAGAAAAGAACATATGTGGACAGGAGGGACCAGGAACTTGGGAACATCTCAGGAAGAGGAAGTGACCTATACTGATGATCCAGTCCAGAGTCTGTACACTCTCTGACATTTGTCTTGCTTCTTTTTTTTTTTTTAAAGAGAGAGTGAGAGAGGAGAGAGAGAGAGAGAGAGAGAGAATTTTTAATATTTATTTTTTAGTTTTCGGCGGACACAACATCTTTGTTTGTATGTGGTGCTGAGGATCGAACCCAGGCCGCACGCATGCCAGGCGAGCGCGCCACCGCTTGAGCTACATCCCCAGCCCCTATCTTGCTTCTTTAAAAGTCTCCTTTGTGGTCAGCAATGTCCCATCTTGGTATGATATCATTTGGTAGTGTGTTGGCAATGAACTTGCAGGGTTCTGCCTTCTCCCTCACTGACCTCATATAGGGGTCACAATCAATTAAGCCCAGTAGAGATTAAAAACTACATTTAACTGAAGATATGGAATTGGACTTAGAGTCCTCTGAGGATAATTGTTTTCTTCAGTAGAACTTTGAGGGACTCCCCAGTTTTGCAACAATGGTTGAGAAAACAGATTTTCAGTGTATTGCAGCTCATCTCATAGACCCCCATTTGTAGCCCCTTGGCACACATAATATGCCCTAAAATGTTACTTCTCTACCTGGAGGTCATAATTCAAGCTCATTGTGTAGAGGCAAATTCCAAGAGATTGTACAATATGTTCTGTTTATGTGAAGAAGTAGATCCAGATGTTATCTACATAGGCAGCCACAAAGGCAAGAAGAAAACTACTTTGAGAGATGTTGTTTAACGATGTGTAAAGAGGACAAAGCTTAGAGACCCTCAGATTTGGATTTTTAATCCTAGTTCTATCACTTACTCTGTGTGCCCTTGATTAAATTGTGTGGACTTCTGACTCATTTTTCTCGTTTGTTAAATGAAGTTAATAGAATTTGACAGCTGTTGTGAGGATTAGAATTAACACACTTAATACAACACTTGGGTTCACACTTGAAACAACGCAGTTGCTGTTGTTATTTTGATTCTTAGCAAAGAGCTAAAAGATTGATATTTGCTATTGTGTGAACCAACTCAAAAGACATACCTCATATTTGAAATGTTTATGCCTGGGTAAACAAATGGTTTTTACTCAACCTTTTTAAGTTCCTACACTAGAGGTTTTCAACTGGGCATAATTTTTCCCCCACAGGACATTTGATAATGTCTGGAAACATTTTGGTTATCATATGTAGGGTGATAATGTGCTTGTAGTGGCAGAGGCCAGGGACGCTGCTAATCATTGTATAGGCACAGGACAAAACCCTTGAAGAAGAATTATCTAAACCCAAATTTCAGTAGTTTTCAGTGGGTTGAGAAAATATGACCTAGATCAAGTTGTGGAATATCCATAGATGCAGCTTCATAACTCCCTTACAGCCATTCAAGTACCTTGGTATTTTATTGTGAGACTAGAGCTACACAAAAATAATTTTCTGTTTGGATGTACTTCATATTGATACTTCCAAAGATACATAGTTAAGGTCTCCAGAATCTAGCCCTTATCAAAAGTTTATATATTTTTCAAATGGGATTTGGGCTCTGAGTAGGATTTACAATTCCAACTCCAGACCTAGTCCTTTTTGAGGATCATAATCAGGATGAAGTCCTTCTACTTAGCAGGCAACTTAAGCTGGACTTTGGGCTGTTTTTAGCTGGGATAGAGTCCATGGGTGAATGCATTATCTGGGTCCCCAAGGAAAGGGCCAGCTGTGGTAGGGGAGACAACCTGGGCCTTACACCAGTAGAATAAATGCAAGATATCAGGCTTCCACTCTACGGGGTTGGAAGTGCCCATTAAGGGAGCTCTGTGATTGTTCAGAATCTGAATGATCCCTGATTGAAGATGTTTGTGATATCAGGGAAGTGTGCTAATAAGGAGGACAATTGGATTTTAAATGCCATACCTAGAGCCAAAGGTGACCTTGCAGATGACTTGGATCCTGAGGTGAATGAGTTAAGCATGTAGTTAATATAAATGATCATTTATATGTGCATTCACACATTTATGCATCTATAAATTTGGTTTTGATATTTTTAAGTGCTTTCCCAGTGTTTAGCTACCTGTGATTCACTCTAGCCAGTGAACTTGCAAGTATCCTTTGATTACAGAAAGCCAGGCATATTATTTCTTTACTATAGCCTCTCAGGTAGATTGTGATTGTTTAGATTAATTATGTATATATAAAATAAACACATCACATAAATACACCAAGAATTGGTTTCTGGAAATATGAACACAAAGGGAAGCCAGGCACGATGAAGGCAGTCTGATCACCTGAGACTCCCATACTGTGAGGAAGTTCAAGCTATCCATATGGAAAAAGAGCAGGGATAGAAGAGAGAGGGAGAAGGAGAAGGGGAAAAGAGAAAGAAGTTATTTGAGGGAAGAACACATTTTGGAAATGCAGCCCAAATGAGCCTTCAGTTGACTTTACTTCTCCTGACACATGATGTCAATCACATGAAAGAGAGTAAATGAGATCTGCCCAGCAGAGACCAGTTAATCCACAGATTTGTGTTGTAAGGCACTACATTTGTGGGGTACTGTGTTAGCTTTCCATCAGTATGACAAAAATTTGAGAAAAATCAGCTTAAAGAAAGATTTATTTTGACTCATAGTTTCAAGGTTTCAGGCCATGGTCACTTTGCCCCACTGCTTTGGGCCTGTGGGAGGCAGAACATCCCAGCAGGAAATGAGGGATGGAGCAAAGCTGCTTACCTCCCAGTGGCCAGGAAACAGAGAGGAGGGGCCAGGGTCCCATATCCCCTTCAAGAGCATGCCTCAAATGACCTAATTTCCTTCCAGTAGTCCCCAACACCTGAAGGTTCTACTGTCCTCCACAAGTACCATCAACTGGGACCAAGCCTTCAACATGTGAGCTTTTTGGGGATATTTAAGATTCTGACCACAGCAGGTGATTTGTTACACAGTTAAAGACTCCCAAACAGAATGAGATAAGGACAGGCTTGAAAATTACGTTTTGATTTCTTCAATTTAAAATGAAATACATTTCAGACCGAGGCTAAGGAACTTTAAAGGGAGTCATTTTAATTGCTAGCTACCTTTTCTTTGAATCTTTGCATAACACACTCTTTCTTTTTTTATTTTCAGAGACTGCAGACAGAGTGGAATTGTAACTAAGGTATTTCAGGTAGATTACGAACCACCAAATACAGTTTCTTCTGAAGACAATGTTGAAAATATTCTCAAAGTTTCTTCAAAGGCAAGTAATGATATTATACATTCAGATTATTACTATATTCTTCGTCTGTCCTTCTTGGTGGGCACATCTTCCCTTTCATTATATCACCTCTGCTTATAGTCAGGTCCTAATTTAAGTAAAGTCAGTATCAACCATTGCGAAGTATCTTCACTAATTCCTCAACCTTTGGTCAATTTCTCCTCCACTTTAGAGATTAGAATTCCTACCCAGCAACACTGCCCATGCTCCAGTGTCTTCAGTGGCTCTTCCTTACCTACTGAAGAAAGCAGAAAATTTTAGTCTGCCATGGCAGTAATCAGTGTTCATTCTTGGCCAGGCTTTCTTGCCTTGACTGTAATTTTCCCCCTGTGTAAACTCCAGTTAAATTAAACTTACACACGGTGTTTTATCACTGCACCAAGTCTTCTCCTTTTAAAAACACTTTGATCATGTGATTATTTGGTTCTTTGTCAGTCTTTGCCATGTGCTGTAAGCTCCAAGGTGGCATAGAGTGTGGCTGCCATACTCAAAGCCTTGCTCAAGAGAAGGCAGGAGAGGGTGATGAGTATATATGTGGTAAATAGGTTCATCAGGCCAGGAGAAGCTCCCAGTGGGCATAGACTTCTGTTCTGTTGAAATTTTCATTCCCAAAGACTCATCTCTTTGGAGAAAATTCAAGCTATGTGAAGACATTTGAAATTTCAGTCCCTGTGTTGTTGGCATAGATAATAATAGATCCAAGTAATAGGGCCAGAGGATGGACTAGTTCATGGTAAGGCAACTAATCAAGAAGTCTCAGTCGGAGGGAACACAGAAAGTTTTTGGTGGTATCCCTTAAGTGAACCTGAAGCCAGTGAAGAGGCTGTAGCACCAAAGGGTGGGTGCAGGCATGGGGTGGGGCTCTTAGTGTGTTCAGGGCAAAGGCAGCCAGCAGAGACTGAGCCCACATGTATCAGCAGGTGCTCGGGTTTGTATCAGGTATAAAGAAAAAAAAATCTATGGAGAGAAAGTCAGGCCCTGTGGACAGGCTATGCACATAAGTCCTATATTGGTCTGATCCCACCCTAGCTCTGCCCCTCGGATCTGCTGGTCCCCTTGTTATTACCCTCCCATGAATGTAACATCCTATCTTGATGTGCTGCTCCTTCTTCCTGGTTTGGCCACTTGACTTGAGACCTAGACATGCTACTAGCCAAAAGCCCAGATTCAAAGCTCTGTGTTTCCCCACAGTAAGGTGAAACAGAGATCACTTTATAAAAACGACTGTAAACCATTTTAAGGAAGAAATGTATGCCATGACATTGTCTCTATCATGTAGCTTTTAATTTTCACATTCTCAATGGGTATCAAGTGATATGTAATCTCTTCATTCCTAGGAATTAAAAAATGGATTTGTTGGACCAAAACTAAAGAAGAAATATAAGAACACTGAAAATAAACCTAGTTGGAATGTTAACCTTAGAAAGTTTCCAGGTATGATGTGATAGCATGAAGATAAGGTTCACTGTTTATTCTAAACCCACCAAACTGGTTCACGGCATGTTCACTGCATGTTCTCTTACTTGCAGAAGTGTTGGAATAAGAAACACTAGAATAGGAAAGTAGGCTGTAATTTGAATTCTAGTATTGTCCTAGCTAACTAGCCTAAAGCCATAAAGGATAACCAAGCAGTCCAACAGTGTTATATTTATTGATTCATTGCATTGAGGGGACCACACACTATGGAATCATGGTGTGTCTCATCAAGCAAGGGAAAAGATAAAAGTTGAAGGGTTTGAAGAAAGAGAGAAGTTTGGTTGAAATTGAAATGAAAGAAGAGGTCTGGGGATATGGCTCAGTGGTAGAGCACTTGCCTAGCATATTCAAGGCCCTGGATTGTATTTCCAGTGCCTCAAAAATTAATATATAAATAGTTTTACAAAATAAATGAAAGCAGAGTTTTAATAGGCTCAAAGCAGAGCTAACTATGTGGGAACTGGAGCATCACATGTGCACTGAAGTTCTGTCACTTTATATAGATACACATGGAACATTATGATCAGAAACCCTACTATGCAGCCCAGCACAAGGATTAGAAACTGAGACTTCTTCTCTCTGTGACTTAAATTCTCCTGGCAAGAGTCGATATTTCGATATTTGTTCTTACTGATACAATTTGAAAGAGAAGAATTTCTGATAATCTATGATTTTTGAGGACAATTTTTCCTCAACAAGTGAGCAGTAGATTACTTCAAGAGGAAGCTGTTATGACATTTCTCAGCTATAATATATGTCCTTGGGAGAACTAAAGTAACCACCTAGCCTTGCAATTGGATTGATCTGTCTGTTTTCCTAAAATGATGTGGGATGTTATAGAATGTAACGAGGAAGATAATTTTCTCAGTCTGGGCTTATTATTCCTTTCTCAGTTCTTATTCACTGAGTTGGGGAGGGTGTCTCTTTATATAATTGTTACTTCTAGGGAGAGAATGTGATGACAGTGGTCCCTTATTTAAAAGCTTTCTAACTACACAGACATTTGCATGATTTAACATAATTACAGATGCTCACAGAACAATGTTTTTAATATAATTGCAGACCTTGAGATAGATGAAAGAACTGACTCTAAAACACTGAAAGATCTTCGCTTCTCAGAAAGCCCATTAGAAATCCCAGCTTACCATGAAGGATCAAGTTCTAGACCACCCACTCAACAGTCCCAGGTAACTTTTAAGGAAAATCCATAGGGTGTGAAGATACCTCCCATATTTTTAATGCTTCCCATGATCTATTTTAAGGCAGCTCTTCCCAGCCTTTTGACCATGTGCCAGTGTTGGCAATACTGTGTTGCACAAGAAAAATCTCTATATATTCATTCATAGGGCTGTCATTGTATTGGGGTGGTAGGCAAACAGATAATAATCAAGTAATTAATCACACACAAAAATGTTAAACAGTAGTAAGATTCACAAACAAGACAATCAGGATAATGAGTTCTCAACTTATGTGGGGTCGGGTTTGTATCAGGTATAAAGAAAAAAAAATCTATGGAGAGAACAATGGTTCTCAACTTATGTGGGGTCACCAGACCAGCAGCATCAATATCACATGGGAGCTTATTTGAAATGCATATTCTCAGGCCCTGCTGAATCAGAGACTCTGGGTCTGACCACAGTGATCTGCATTTTATTTAACCCTCCTTTTGATGCACCCTCAAGTTAGAGAGGCCCTGAGATTGAGAATGTCTGTGAAGGAAGAACAAGTGTTGTTTAAATTGGGAGAGGGGCTTCCTTGAAGAGGTGACATTTGAATTGGACTTTGGAGATGAACTTTCAGAAGCCGGCAACGTAAAGATCTTGGGGGAAAGCATTCAACAACAGTCAAAATGAGGACAGCAAAGTGAGGGATCTCAAGGAAGCTGGTGTGGATGAAGCTTGATGAGCAAGGTAGGAGATGATGGGGCAGGTGGGCTGGGAGCAGAGTGCCTAGACCTGTGGTTCTCAGATATGGCTGCACATCAGATTCACTTAAGGTGTTTCAGACCAATCCTGAGACCTAATCTTGAAACTTTGGGTTGGTTTGTTGTTTGGCATGGTTTGTTTTTAAAATGAATTGTCAAGTGATTCTAATGTGCAAACATGATTGAAAATCACAAATGCTAGTCCCATTGTTCAGAATTGGGATTTTATTCTAATTGTAAGGAGAATATATATGGAGCATAAGACATAATTCCAATTATATTTTAAAGTTCCTCTTGTGCCAGAGATTAGACTATAGAAGACAATGAGGGGAACATCATTTCCAAGGTGTTTGCTCCAGGCAAGAGATGATGGTATCTTGGACAAAGGTTGTAGACATAATGAGGACAGGAGTTCATAGGCATCTAAACAGGTTTGACTGAGGGATTAGATAAATGGGATGAGAGAAAGGGAGGAACCAAGAATGACTCACAAGATTTTGGCCTGAGCATCTAGAGATGATGGTACCATTAACTGAGATGGGCAAGATGAGAGAAGAGCAAGTGTTCAAGGGCACATTGGATATTCACATGAGAGTGTTGAACAGATTATTGTATGTGTAAGTTCAGACTCAGCCAAGAGGTCAGGAATGAAGATATACATTTGGAAATTTCATATACAGATGGTATTTAGAGCTGAATCTGAATGAGATCTCTTGCTAAGGGTATACAGAAGATGAAGAGAAGGTAGCACAAGACAAAATACTCAACTTAGATGCTATGCGGGGAAGGAGGAGTTTGAGAAGTGGAAAGAAAGCCAGAAGAATGTGGTGCCATGGAAGCCAAGTGAAGGAAGAGTTTCAAGGAGAAAGCAGGGGTCATCTATGTCTTACGTTGCTGAGACTTCAGCCTACCCAAGCAGAGAGAATTGTTCATTGAACTTGGCAAGATGGAAGTAGTTTAAGATCCTAATAAAAGCCATATTAATACATTGTCACTACTATAACACAAGAAACTACACGTATACTAATTGCCTACTATTATAGTATTTTGATTTTTCAATGTTTATAAAATTCATTTTAGAGTTTTTTGGCATCTGAGGTCAAGCCAGGAGCTCTTAATGTCTTTCTCCTATTTGAGCCCCAAGTAGAATATACCAGGAGTTACATTTCTATCTAAACACAACTGTTTCTGGTTTACCTATGATTCCAAGGCTACTCATACTTACCATTAAGTACAAAAGAGACAAAAAAAACCCCTAGTTCCCAAATCTGATTGCACATCAGAATCACCGGAGGAAATGTAACTATATGTGTAAATTCTCAGCTGCCACTTCCTGAAAATCTCCTGAGGAGTTTTAGTCCATAAACCTGAGATGAAGTCCACATTTGACTTTGATGATTAGTCTAGTCGAAATCCCTGGCCAAGAAAGCCACACCTTGGTATTTATCCTAAAGGATTAAGGTCATCATACCACAGCAATATATTCAGTGTATCCATGTTTATAGCAGCACAAGCCACAGTAGCTAAACTATGGGACCAGCTAGATATCCATCAACGAATGAATGGATAAAGAAAATGTGGGGGGATAGGAAGGGCAGCAGAATAGAATAGATAATATGATTGATGTATGTACATTCCATGTATGTATTATATGTCAAAATATATTCTGTCATGTATGACTAAAAAAATAAAAATAAATCATATGGTTAAAATAAATAAATAAATAAAAGTTAAATTAAAAAAAAAAAGAAAATGTGGTATATATACACAATGGAGTTTTATTCAGCCATAAAGAAAAATGAAATTATATCAATGCAAGAAAATGGATGGAAATAAAGACCATAATGTTAAACAAAATAAATCATACCAGAAGGTCAAGGGACATATGTTTTCTTTCATATGCAGAAGTTAGAGAGGAAAAACAAAAAGAAAGGGGAGACAGATTTAATGAAAATCAAAGGGAGATCAGTAGAGGACAGGGACCAAGAGGTGGAAGGTGAGGAGGGAGGGGGGGAAGTGCTGGGGAGTGATATTGGCCCAATTATATTGTTATATCCTGTGCATGTACTAATAAATAATAACACATCCCATCATTATATACAACTATTATGCACCAATAAAAAATGTGGTATATATACACAATAGAGTTTTATTCAGCCATAAAGGAAAAAATGAATACAGTTTTTCAGTTCTAAAATCAGGTCTGTTTATAGTAAATTCAGGTATCTTTTATTGTAAATTTTCATTTTTAATGAAATATACATATCTAATTATGAATAGTTTTTTGAATAAATTTTAAATGTTAGATACTGGAGTGATAATTACTTAGGACCTTTCACATCATGGTTTAAAAAGATGAATGCTTCAGCATTCATTATGCAACAAATGTTAAAATAAAATTTTCCATTAATTTTACTATTCCATAGCCTTTACCAGGTTATATTGACTGTATACCTTTATGAATCTATATTCTTAATTTTAGTCGCCTGGTTTTGCACACATAACTGGCCAGAAAAGTCTGACAAGAACAGAGATCATGAGGATTCAAAGAGAGACAGACTTCCTCAAGTATGTATCACATTCTCTACTGTCTTTAAGCCCACCATAATACATTGTGTCAATGTGTTTTCCTACCCATCTCTTTCTTTTTTGTTTCCCTCCTTCCTTTCTTTATTATAGTACTGGGGGTTGAACCCAGGGGCGCTTTCCACTAAGTTACATCTATACCTAGCCCTTTTTAAAATTTTTAAATTTTGATAAAGAGTCTTACTAAGCTGCAGAGGCTGGCCTTGAACTTGCAATACTTCTGCCTTAGCCTCCCAAGTCACTGGAATTACAGGTGTGTGCCTCCACACCTGGCTTGGCCATAGCTTTTTAAGTTAATTTGATTAGCTTTTAGAAGGTTTGATTGGCTTAAGACAAACTGTGTATATTTAAAGAGTTCAATTGATATGTATATGTATATATATATATATATATATGTATATGTAAATTTATCTTGTATATATATAATATATATCTTCTTATATACAGGATATATGAACATTTTTTACAGGATATATGAAATCATATATATAATATATGTATATATATTCTGTATATATGAAACTATCACAGTAGTCAAGAAAATGAGCAAATTCATCACCTCCAAAAGTTTCTGACATTGTACCTTTTCATCCTTCTTCATTCCCAGGTAAATATTGATCTGCTTCTTGTCACCATATCTTAGTTTGCATTTGATTTCATATACATGTGGAGTAATTTAGTATGTACTCTTTTTTTTTTTTTTTTTTTGCAGGGGGTGTGTTCAAGTTTCTTTGACCAGCATAACTATTTTGAGATTCATTCATGTTTTTTTCTTGTGTCAAACATCTATGCTTTTCATTGCTGAGTTGTTATGTTTATCATTGAGTTTCCATGCTATGGATAAGCCAGTTTGTTTATCCATTTACTTATTGAGAGTTATGTGTGTAATTTCTAGATATGAACATTTTACACATAAAGTTGATATGAATACTTTATACAAATCATTGCATACATATATACTTTCATTTCCCTTCAGGTAAATATCTTGAAGGGGAATGACTCAGTTACATAATAGGTATATATTTTACTTTTTAAGAAACTATTCAATTGTTTTCTGAACTAGTTATATATTTTTATATTATCACCAGCAGTGTTTGAGAATTCCAATTTCCCACATTTTTATTATTTTTCTTTTGGTACTGGGGATTGAACCCAGGGGTGTGTTTAACCACTGAGCCTCATCTCCAGACCTTTTTATTAAAAGGCTTCGCTAAATTGCTCAAGACCTCACTAAGTTGCTAAGGCTGACTTTACATTTATGTTCCTCCTGCCTCAGCCTCCTAAATTGCTGGGATTACAGGCATGTGCCAACGCTACCAGCCAGTTTCACCACATTCTTTCCAACACTTTTATTTCCATTTTTGATCATTCTAGTGAGATTGTAATAGTATCTCATTGTGGTTTTAATTTTTATTTTGCTGGTTACTGCTTGTATTGTGTTTATTTGCCATCCATAAATCTTCTTTGGTAAATTGTCTTATCCAACTTTTGTAAAAAAAAAAAAAAATGGGTTATATATCTTTTTATTGTAGAGTTGTACATGTTTCCCTTTTTCAGATATATAGTTTGTAAATATTTTCTCCCAGTCTTTGGCTTTTCATTTCAATGAAATTCAAATTATCTGTTTTTGTTTTATACTTCATTCTTAGTTTGTTATATTTAAGAGATATTTTCTAAACTATGCACTAAGATTTTTCTCCTAATTCTTTTCTAGAAGTTTTATAGTGTTAGATCTTATACTTAGTACTTTAATGTATTTTAATTAATTTGCATATGATTGAGGTTCATAGTTTTGTATATGGATATTTAATTATTGCAGCTCATTTTCTTGAAAAAATTTTCTTTCTTCAGTGATTAGTTTTAGAATATTTGAAAATCAATTTTTGATAATTATGTGAATCCAGTTTTGAACTCTATTCTGTTCCACTGATGTTTCTCTCTTTATATTTTGGTCCAAGGATTGAACCCAGAGTTGCTCTACCACTGGACTACATTCTCCCACTCGTTTTAAGTTTTGTTTTAAGACAGCGTCTTGCTAAGTTGCCCAGGCTGGCCTTAAACTACAGGTTTCCACTCTGTGGCCACTTTGTAATAAAATGATCTGGAGAAGAATTTTCTTCCTAGGACTTGTCCCATAGTTGCTAAGAGTGGTCTGCTTGTGTTTTGTTTCATTTTTAAAACTGTTTGAATACATTTAGATTTTCACCAGTCTTCTTAAAGTGGATCAATCTTCACATGTCCAGTCAGGAACCTGTTTTGTTACAGGTGTGCCCACTGTCTGGCTCCCCGCCCATCTGATCCCTTTGCTCGCTTCTGTCAAGAGTGTGGTGCTCCTGTCCCTCCCATATTTGGCTATCGTCTTCCACCTCCAGAAGGAGCGCAGGTGAGCAGCAAAAATTCTTAAAAACATCTCTTACTGGTTTATGTGATCTTTATTTGCAGCAGTAAGACAGTGCCTGTATACATGAATCACAAACATTAAAACTTATTGAAAGAATGTCTGGCAGATTAATCTATTACTATCTAGATTCCAGTTTAAGAATGCAGTGACATTTCTTTCCAATGGCTTGCAAAAGTACAGGCACAGAGGAGATTGAAATCTTATTGTTTTAATGAGGCATACATGGATAAATAAATGTTTCCTATCTACTTGCTATTTCTGCTTATAACCTGGGTACAACAAGGGAATATATTCTTTAAAACAAATGGAAAAAAAGTACTAATTACTTTATAGCTCTCTATCTATAGATCCATAAGATGCATTGTTCTGTCCAAAGATTGACTTAGATTGATCAGTATATTTGAATTTTAAGACTTTGGCTGATTAAGTGTAGGTAATAATTACTATTATCCTACCACTAGTTTTGTAGTTAGAAGAGATGCTTCACCTGCTAACAATCAAAACCTTCACCTCTTAATATTGTTTTCTTTAAACTGGGGCTTAGAACATGAATAGAAAGATTTGTGATGTTGAGTGAGAAATGTCTATGTTTAGAAAATATATAAAATGATTAAAGATAGTCATTTAAAAGGTACTGATTTCAATGAACTCAGAATCCAGAATTTTAGAATTGAGTTATGATCTCAAGCAAGGAGTCAGGTACTATGGATATCATTTTGAGGGGGGGAGTACAAGGGATTGAACTCAGGGGCACTTGACCAGCCTATTTTGTATTTTATTTAGAGTGAGAGTCTCACTGAGTTGTTTAGTCCCTCACTTTTGCTGAGGCTGGCTTTGAACTTGTGACCCTCCTGCCTCAGCCTCCCGAGCCGCTGGAATTACAGGTGTGCACCACCATGCCCAGCTACTAAAATGGGTATCTTTTTAAAACCTTCCTCCAATTTATTGTTCAAGATTGTTGTAAAAGTTAATTTAATATATTTTGAACTCCTTGAGAATTCCTTGAATAAGATAATACAGAAAATAAAACATGAACAGATCCCATTAGTTTGAATTTTCTGTTTTTATCAGTTAGTACAATGTCAAGGTTATTTCCTTTTGCCAAGAGAAAGATTTTCAGAATGTTCTTTGTCTTTGCAGGGAGAAAATGTTATTAGATGTTAAAAATATTTTTAATGAATCATAAAATATCCATGTTGCTCCCCAAATTATATTTATATTGGTACAATAACAGTCTATCTTATATAAATAGCTTTGTAATTTAAACTAACAATAATTTTTTGAGTACTTACTGTGTCCCACTCTCCACTGGTCTTCTTGGACTCAAAGGTGTAGGCCTGTACAGCCCTCTGTTAGGCATTTCTCCTTTGCCAGCTGGCTGAATGTTAGTTTTTGTCAAAAAAGGAATTCTGCAATTCCTTTTTTGCTTTTTCTTTGCTTCTGTGGTGCTCAACTAAATGGCAGAACACCCAGCTGTGCTGAATTCTAATTTTTAGTTGTAGTTGGACACAATACCTTTATTTTATTTGTTTATTTTTATGTGGTGCTGAGAATCAAACCCAGCACCTTGCACATGCTAGGTGAGCGCTCTACTGCTGAGCCACAACCCAGTCCCAAATTCTGTGAATTTTGATGGTATCACATGGATAACTTCTCAGTGAGTTCCACCAGTACCCCAACCAGCTTCCCAGATAGTCTCTCAGGCACCCCAGTGGACAGCTCCCCAGTAAGTTTGAGCAGCATCCCAGTATGTTTTCTTTCATTAGAAAGAACCCAGTGGGTAGCTTTTTCTTGCCCATCCTGATTAGTATCACTTCAGCAAACTGATCAGACATCTGCTGGAACAGACATACCCCATTAAGTGAAATCCAATTTCACCCTTAAAGGTGGAGTGAAGTGAGTGCCTCTTCTTTATTTGATCCTCCTCAGATTCTCTGCCTTAGCTATACAGGTAGCGGCTCCTCCCTATGTTTGGTATTCCTATATCATGTGGAGTCTGCTCTGCCCATTGAAAGTTAATCCCCTGTTGCTGGTTAATAAATTATTTACATTAATTTTCCCCTTTTCAAATAACTGGGTAGATTCTGTCTTCTGACTGTATTATGACTGTTACAGAATTGGTGATGGGTCCCAGTAAATAAACCTGTGAAGAAGGAATATTGAAAATGGTTTGTTCTTTTTTTTTTTTTTTTAAAGAA